AACACTCTTACTGGGACTTACCGCCCAGCAGATCCTCTATTCAGCTAACTACAGGAAAGGTCCTCACCGGCCTTTTTCGCACACTCTAATGCGTTTCGCGCGGGTGAGGGGAGTCGCGGGTTCGAATCGCAGAGGGGACCTGTATTGAGCTCGCACAGGGCGACTCAGCAGCGCGGGTCAGCTCCCTAGTACAGCTTCCAGACCGCCCGCGGACGCGCGGGCCATCGCTAGTCTGCTTGTTCTGTGCCACGATGCGTGTGACACGCAGGCGCGGCTGCTGCGCGGCACTGAGTATGTGTCAATCAGATGAACGGCGCCGCGATGATGGTTGTCATCTCTCTGTGTGCTGTGCTGTGCTGCAGATGTCTGTCAGTGAGTTGACTGATGAGTGGCTGAGAGATTGCGGCTGTCGGCGCCCGCCGATTAGCATAGATCAGATGACTGTTTGTCTGTCTGTCTGTCTGCAGGCGTCACAGACTGTCTGACTGAGTGGCTGAGTGGCTGGTTGATGGCTTCGACGCGCCGATGGTGACTATGCGGCCGTCGAGTGGCGCGATGGCCCTCTCCCTCACTGCTGCTCGTCTGTCCGTCTATGTGTGTGTCGAGTCGACGGCCCTCTCTCTCTGTCGTGTGTCTGAGGGGACGGCTGGCGTTTCCTTTTGTGGGCATCTCCCACGCGACTCGGCGACGTCAGAGTATCAGCACACGTCTGGTGCTGGTGCTTTGGGGTTGCTGTGTGGTGACAGAGATGCGCACTAAAGGGAGAAATGGACAGACAGACGCCAGTGTGATTGATGAGTCCATGTCGACACCCACCCACACAAGACTGGATGGATGTATGTGTGTAGGCACTGTCTGCACTTACGGATTTCGTGCGCATCTCTCTCTGTTGGGTGTGGGGTTGCCCGACACACACACGTGGGAAGAAACGGAGGGAGAGATGGGACGTGCGCAAGCGGGAGATGGTTTCCTTTTGATGTGCAGCGTGTGTTGGTGTGCTGACTGTCAGTTGCTTGTGTGTCACCCGACACATGGAGCTTTCATTCTTCCTCTCTGTGTGTGGTGGCCGTCGAGCGTCTGACAGACAGTCAGACAGAAAACTGTGAACGAATGGACAGCACAGTGCGGCTCATTAGGGTGCAAGGGTGTGTGGGTGGGTGTGGTGGTGCGGGTACTATACGCAATCGGCCGTCGACTTGATATGTATATGTGAACGATCGACTGACTGACTGACTCACCGCCTCTCTGTTGCCATTTGTATAACCTCCAGCGACACACAGCAGCTCAGCAATCTTGTCCACTTGTCCGACTGAGCAGTGCACACACAGACGACGACGACACGAACGCCCAGACGGCCACGTCAACAGATTAAAGACAGCGGGTTCTTTTCATTCCCGAGTGACTTCCCTGACGGATACAGACTATCATCCAACAACGCTCATGCCATTTTGTGTCGTCTTTTGTGGACCACTAGATGCCATTAAGGACAACATGCACCATCCTTACTCCGCCATCCAGTGCATGTGTGTCAATCATGTAGTCGCTCGCCCAGAAGTCAGCCCGTCTACCTGCCCCTCGCTTGCCCTTCTCTTTGCATGTCTGCATGGCCTCTGGAGGCCAGAGAAGCACTGATGAGCCAGTACACTGACGTCTTTCCCCGTGTCCGTTCACCGCCCCACGGTCCACCAGCACCTTCATGGGAATGAGATAGAAATAGCGATCACCAGGCACCGAGACGGCCAGCAGATCAAAGTCTCCCTCATCATACAGCTGAGTGGCCTTCGTGCCGGCGCTCTTGTGCAGAACAACACAAGAAGAGCCGTTGTTGTTGCCGGTGTGAAGACGGGCCTGTTTGTGCTGAATGAGGAATCGCTTCCCATCCCACCACCAGACGGCATCGACAGGCGTCATCTCGTAGATGAGCTCCTGCCGGACGGCCACACCAGCAGCAGACAGCAGAGGGGCCCACACCGCAATTGATGCCTCGCCCTTCTGATGCCTCTCCGACCGCTGCAGCATGATGTTCGCCAGCGAGTCCTTGGTGAATGAGAGGTTCTGATAGACCAACAGCAGCTTCTGCGACAGAGATGCCGGGCCCTCAAGTGCCGTTGAGCATCGGAAGCTCTCATGGTCCCACTTGCCATTCTCACGCAGAGTGAGTTTCCCAGATGGGATTCGCTGCAGGTCAGATCCGTCGTAGCACCAGATACGGAAGTCCAACAGAGCCACACAGACGACGGGAATCTCCGGATAATTGTTGGTGAAATTAAATCGCCAGGCGCCGTCCTGGTTCTTCTGCCTGCACGTCTTCACTTGGACCGGCAGCCACGCATCTTCACTCACACCAAAGGGCCGCACGGCGAGGTCAGCATGTGCCCCCTCTCAGGTCCTCTGCACAACAAACCATCGCCTCAGCAGATCCATCACACACTGCACACCCGAGTTGCCGACGAGCCTCCACTCCATCTTCCGCCGGCACTCTGCAGCGGCGGCCTCGGCCATTCCTTCATCCTCCCATCGCAGAAGGGCGTCAGCATCAGCAGGCCTTGAAGAAAGTCGTCGAGATGCCGTGGTCAAGGGAGAGAGGGACGCACTGACGGCGAACCGGCGACGAGAGGCGGAGATGATGATGCCCCTTTGCATTGATGAAGCCACCATCATACGCCGGCAGAGATGACAAGGCAAATGAAACGGCGAGAAGCTAGAAGGGACATGGGAAGCACCAGGAGATTTACATTCGAGGTCTGCGAGCTTAGGAGTCCCCCACAGATCTTCGTAATTGAGAGAAATGGCGCTGACGATACTGAAGGCGGTGAACCAGGGCTTCCAGGCTGGCGCGACGCTGCTTGACGCCCACATCGATGCCGAGTCGCTGCTGCACGCCCTGCACGCCTCGCCGGTGCCCTCTGACGCCGGCATGAAGGCCCTCAACCGACTGAGGGACATCGCGAGGGACAACCCTGACGCTGTGGCCATGCAGACCAACGCCATTCAACTGCTGTGCGGTCCGTGAGATGAGAGAGATGCATTCACTCACACGTCTGTTGCCGCTCATCGTGGTGTTGCTCATTCATTCAGGGGCACTGCTGACGCTGCAGGCGACCTCAGACCCAGGTGCACATGTGCGTGTGGGTGTCAAGCGAGAGCGATCTCTGTCAAAGTGTCTGTGTGTGTGTTGGCGTGCTGTAGATGCGGCAGCGGGCCTGCAGGATGTCTTGGAGACTCTGAACTTCATCGTCGGCAGCAAAGCCGAAGGAGAGAGGGCAGATCGTCAGCAGCAGGGTCATGACGAGGGTCAGCAGCAGCATGTGACCGCCGATCAGCGGCGGCATCTGTCGACCATTATGGACCAGACGCAGGACGGCAAGGTGCTATTCGGCCTGCTGCAGGCACAGAAAGACGTACGTGTGCGGGCAAGAATGGTGGCTGGCGTGAGAGCGGCCGTGTGCACGTGTGTGTGTGCGTGTGTGTGTGTGTGTGTGTGTGTGTGCAGGTGTACGTGGCTTATGACACGATGGTGCTCTTGCAACACCTCTACCGCCATTTCAGCTCCAAAGTCGCCCAGGTGGCTATGCGTGGATGGACAAGCCCTGCACCCACGGATGTGCTCGTGTGTGTGTGTGTGTGTGTGTGTGTGGGGTTGCAGACCATACTGAGCGACCCCATGGGTCTGTCGTCGCTGATGCAGATCCTCCAAGACGCCAAGACTGACTTTGTTCGCAACGAGGCGCTCCAGCTGCTATACCTTCTCACGGGTACGCACACTCACAGCACGGCCTCTCTTTGTGTGTGTGTTGAAATGTGCCGCATTTCTCTCTGTGCGTGTGTGCAGAGACCAATACGGAGATTCAGAAGATCGTCACTTTCCAGGTGCGCGCGATAAATGCGTGTGTGCGTGAGTGCCCGCCGACATGAGTCTGTGTGAGATACACACAGGGCTGCATCGAGTCACTGTTTGCTGTCATCTCCGAGGAGGACATCTCCAGGCACTTCACATCAGTCACCAGAACCGCACTCAGGTACACACACACACACCAAGCACCCAGTAACACACACACACAGGTACACACAATGGATTCATTCACACAAACTCACACACAATCAGGTGTCTGCTCAACTTTCTGAGCAACCCCTACTGCGTCAAGTATGTCCGCGAGACGGGCGGCATCCGGGCTATGTGCGACCTCATGGCCAAGGCACTCGAGCCAACCAAGACGGCAGAGGTACGTCTGTCCACACACACACACACATTTCACACACGGCGGATAGCATAGTTGTCTGTTTGCATCTGTGTATATGTCTGTGTGTGTCGCAGGACAGCAGCCCGACAGCGGCGAGCAGCCGATCAGTTGAGGGCGATGACCACAAGTGCGCCCAGGCGGTCGAGTACCTAATCAGAGGCACCATCCTACTGCTGCAAGTATCTTCTCATACACACACACACACGTCCATCCGCCCGTTAATCTGTCTGTGTGTATGTGTTTCTGTGCAGGGGGGAGGAGAGGCCCCAGAGGCCGGCAAGAGTGTGGAGCACAACCAGAACGCCTTCGTCAGCAGCGGCTTCCTGGACCTCGCATGCCGCCATGTCAACGACACAAGGCTCCCCCTCGACCTGCGGCATCAGGCACAAAAACAGACTCACACACACACACACACACACGTCTGTGTGTCTGGATGTGTGTGTGTGTGTGGATTAGGTGTGTGAGGCCATCCTGCGTGTGGCGTGCGGTAACGCGCAGGCGTCCAAAGCGCTGCAGTCGTTCACCAAATGCGACGACAGACACACAGGTACCCTTCCCCTCTCCCCTCACTCCACCTCAATCCCACCCCTCTCACGCCACACAGATCTCCTCTCTTTTGTTGATGTGGTGCAGAGTGGGCGAGCAGACACAGAGTGGGCCATAGCAGCGCCAACAGGGATGGTCAGACAGATGTGAGCGTGCCGCCGCCGCTCTTTTTCCTGGTTGACGAGCTGCTGGCCGACAGCACCGACCTCCCAATGAGAGCGGCAATAGCCACCACAATACAACTGGTCAGCCACACACACACACACTCTCATGGTGTTCACAAGTTCCTGTGTGTGTGTGTGTGTGTGTGTGTGTGTCAGCTGGTGGCTGGCGACACGAACCTGCAGTCGTTTCTGCTGTCGACTCTCGCACCCCAGCTGCAGCCCGACCCCTCATGCATCGCTTTCAACACAATGCCACCGGTGAGTCGCTTTCAAAAGACAGACAAACACACACGAATGTGTGTGTGTGTGTGTGTGTGTGTGTGTGTGCAGGGGCGCGCGATTGTGCAGTCCATCGACGACGTCATGAGGGCGCGCCAGCACGACGGCAAAACTGCCACCGACGAGGAGGAAGAAAAAAGAGAAAGTGAGCACACCAAAGACACTCACTCGTGCGCACAACACAAACATATTTCTGTGTGTCTGTCTGTCTGTCTGTCTGTCGGGGTGTGCAGGTGAGCTGGCTGAGGGCCTGATGGTGCAGAAGCTTTGGTACGGGCTAGAGGTGGTGCTGGCGATGCTCGGCACCAGCCAAGAGGTCCAATCGGTCGCCGTACAGGTACACCCACCCACCCACCCTCACAGACCGTCTCCCACACACCGACATCTGCGCGTGGACATGTGCAGATGCCCGTGGAGATCCCGAGTGACGCCGGCCCAGCGGAGACCCTCTCAGGCAAACTCCTGCGGCTCTTCGGACTCCTCGCCAAGGAGACTCTCGCCATTGGCAAGACCACTACCACCACCACCAGCAGCAGCACCACACAGCAGCTGGACGGACGCCTCACACGCCCACACAAAGAGGTACATGCACACCTGCATATACCCCGAAGTGGATGGATGGCTGTGTGTGTGTGTGTGTGTGTAGGGTTTGCGGCCTGAGTGGGTGGGCGTGAGTCTGTTGGGTCTGCTGAAGGTGTTCATCCAGTGGGTGGAGCACTGCGTCACCGCCATGGCACCGCTCATCGCCTCGCCAGTCTACATGCCCATGCTGCTCGGTGCCCACCTGCACCTCTCCCCACCGACCCAGGCACACACTGTGCACCAGTCCCTGTGTATGACTAAATGCAGATCTGGTGCAGTTCTCTGTCAGCAAGTCGGTCGCATCGCCGGGCAGCGTCATTGACGAGGCCGCCACACACCTGCAGGTGTGCTGCACACAGACAGCCACACACGTGTGTGTGTGTACGCATCTGTCTGTCTGTCTGTCTGTGTCGGTGGTGTGTGGTTCAGGGCCTGGCTGCACTGCTTTTAGGCATGTGTGTGGAGAACCTTGATGCCCAGAAGGCATCATCGTCACCGCCGTCACCTGGAGGAGCAGCATCCAGCAGCGGTGGTGGTGGCCAAGGTGAGCACAACCACCACTACCACTGACATCCATCCATCCATCCATCCGTCGATCCATCCATGTGTGTGTGTGTGTGTGTGTAGATGAGGCCATCAGCAGCGGGACAGCCATGAACGCGGCGGCGTTGCTGTCGGTGCTGGCGACTCGTGTGGGGCTCGACGAGTTCAACCAGAAGATCGAGCGGCTGCAGCGCACCGAGGTGGGGCGGGTTGGGTATTTCACATCCACTTGAATGCACGTGTGTGTGTGTGTGTGTGAAGGCGTTTGCCCGTTGCTCCAAGCTGCTGTTTCCCCCTCACGCAAAGGGCAAAGTGCCCAACACCTTCATCGTCTACTCGCCAGGTACACATAAATGTGTGTATGTGATGGCCATTCCCAGCATGTGTGTGTGTGTGTGTACGTGTGCGTCGTTTCCTGTGTCGTCTTGTGCTGTGTGGTGTGTGGATGGATGTCCGTAGGGTTTGCCCGTCTGGTCAAGGCGCACTACGAGACGCTGCAGCGCAAGATGGTGCAGCTGTACCTCTCCAGCCAGGCCAATCAGGTCGGCCCATCATTCGTGTGGATTAGTGGCACTTCTCTCTCTCTCTCTCTCCGGTAGATTACGTCTGCAGCAGTGGGTGGCGGCGGCAGCATTGTGTCCACAGACGTTGCCGAGCACTACAAGGACCTCATCAAAATGCAGGTTCGTGCCCCATACAGACACACACACACACACACACATCCATCCATCCATCAATCCATCTGTGTGTGTGTGTCAGGACAATGAGTTGCGTGCGCTCAAGGCCGACAACGAGAAGCTGCGCCAGGAGGTGGCCGAGTACGCCAAGCGGAGCATCGCTGCCGACAGCGCACTGCTCGTCGTCAAGCTCGACGCACTCACTGAAGAGTGCAAGCGGCTCAGACAAGAGGTAAGGCCCGTCAACCACACGCCAGACAGACATGTTGTGTGAGTGTGCCGACAGGTGGACACATTGACAGTCGAGAGCAGCCGCAAGGAGGCAGCCTTGTCGACGGAGCGGCAGAGCAACCGTGTCAAGATCACCGAGATGGAGAAGCAGCTGGAGGCGCTCGTCGTGGCCTATGATGCTCTCGAGGCCTCCATCGCCGTAAGCACACACACACAGTGACTGCACACACACACCTGACCACCACATCTGTGTGTGTGCGTGTGCGTGTGTGTCAGACCAAAGATGATGAGCTGACTAACCTGCGGGCAACGGTGGAGGCTCGGCAAGACGCCACACAGGTGGCACAGAGCGAGGCCTACGCCAAGGCCCTCAAGGACCTCATGCACACGAAGCGGCAGCTGGAAGATCTCCGCAGAGACCACGACGTGAGCCAACTGCCTGCACCAGAATGCCATGACATCAACCGACGTGACGTCTGGTGTGATGGATGCATGTGTGTGTCAGGTGTTGCTGGAGGTGCTGGTTCTGATTGCGGAGGAGCAGCCGTCCACCCAGCAGTTTCTCTGCCCCCTGACCCAGACACCATCTCAACAAACATTGGAGCAGCAGCAGGAGCCCCCCCTCTCGCCGCTGCCGTCGTCTCCCTCTCTGACCACCGCCATAAAGGCCAGCCACGTCGTCCCCGAGAAGCCTCACACACAGAGGGAGTCTCCGCCCAACGTCAGGAAGACCCTCCTGCACGACCGACGAGCCGACCAAGACACAATGACCTCGCCCACACACAGAGCACGGTATGCACAAACATGGGTCAATGGCTGTCTCTGTAAGGCTGTCTGTGATGCGTGCAGGCTGCCATCGTACCCCGAGACGCCATACCCCTCGCCAATGGCGCCTTACGAGCGGCCGTCGCCCGTCAGCGATGAGGCCATGTCGCCGATGCCCGTCCTGTCATCGCCTGCAATGGCCGCAGAGCGACGCACAGACGCCAATGAAGTCACACCCAAAAAACGTATGTGTCGGCGGGACACAGACATTCGTGTGTGTTCGCCCATTCGTCTGTGTGTATGTGTGTCTGGCAGAGCCGGCACGTATTCCGTCAGAATCGCCGCTGGGCAAGAGAGTGCCATTCCCAGTGCATCCGCCGCTTACTGCTGTTCCGGTGCCCACACAACCACCGCCAGACAGCTTGGTGGCACCGACTCTGTCAGCATCGTTACAGCGGCCAAGCCAAGAACCGGCCAAATACGTACGTGTGACAGCTCCCTTACCACTGCAAATGTGTCTGTGTGTTGTGTGTTTGTGTGTTTGTATGTGCTCAGAGTCCGACTTTCGGCCAGGCCAGCAATTCGCCTGAGGGTCGAGTGGCTGCCCGCGTCTCGAATGAAGACGAGGTGCTGCTCTTCTCGGCCTCGCAAGACCGCACCCCACCCAAGACACCCCCAACAAACGAGAGCAACAACGTGCCGAGCACCATCGTCAGACATCCTTTTACACAGCAGCAGCAGCAGCAGCAGCGTTGTGTGCCGACCACTTCGACCGATGCAGGCAACGTTGGCGTGGCGGGTTCGTTGAGATCTGCTGGGAGTGCGAGTGCGCGTACAGCTAATGTCCATCTGGGAGCCCCCGCCGCCAGCGGTGGTGTCCCTTCATCGGCATACGAGCGGTCGACAACAAGTGGACCTCAGCCAGCTTATCGGCCGTACCCATACGCTGCTCAATCGCCGCCGTCACAACCACCCGTGCAACAACAGCAGCACCAGCAGCACCAGCACCAGCAGCCCGCCCCATGGTTTGGTGCTGCAATCTCGTCCAACCCACAACAGAGCTCCTCAGCCTCTCCACCACCGCCTTCATCTTTTTGGTCCTACGGCACCGCTCAGCAGCAGACCACCCATCCCACCCCCTCAGGGCTGCCTTCGTTTTTCGGCTCGTCAACAAGCCAGCAGACAGCCGCAAGCGGCAGCAGCTCATCGTTTGTTCCATCATTCTTCAGTCAGCCTGCGGGTGCTGGTGGGGGGCAGGGGGGTGGGGGTGCGAGCGAGGGCGAGCTGCCTTTGCCGGGAAACCAAGCGCAAGCAGCCTCTGCATGGGCGGGGGCGTGGAAAAGATGATGTGGGTGCTTCTTTGCTGATGTGAACAGCTGATGTGAGAGTGTCAGCCATCACCTTTTACCCGTACTGAGTGTGTGGTCAGAATATGTTGGTTATACGAGAATGGCTAGGTCCGTAGCATTGTGCTTTGTGGTGATGAATTCATGATAAATGGACATATACATATATAGTTAATTGGTCAATCCGTCAACATCAATACGCTCACGACGAAATGTTATCGGTCAGACGCACACGTATTCATGACGAATGACTGGAGGGGAAGAGAGAGAGACATGGGGAATGAGTTGTGAAGAGAGAGAGTTGTATGTGCCAATCGACGAACAAATCTACGATGGATGTCTGTTTGTAAAGCCATTCTCATTTCGAGCAGAGAAGCGCTGTCTCGGCCGGCCATGGCATCCAGCAGCTCCCACATCCACTTGTTCAGTGTGTCAGGAGGAATCTCGTCCTCTTCTTTGTGTCGCTTTTTACAGGCCGTGTATCAGGTGCTCCACGACATACACCCACCCACCTCCCTCCACAAACGAAAAACCGTTACATACTCTTCTTCCAGTCGGCGTGCTCGGCGCGGTGGTGCGTCATGAATCGATCGAGCGCCTCTGCTGAGTGGCCGGCGATGTCGATGCCCGCCTCGCGCATCACCTGCTCAAACTCCTTCAGCACCAGACCCAGCATCTGGTTTGAGCTTGGTTCTTTTGATGATGTACAGGACCTCCTCGTAGATGAGCTCGATGATGCTGATCTGGCTCGAGCGCGCCCTCTTTTCAGTGGCCTTCAATCTCTCACGGATCTCGCAGAGCCTTTTGTACTTCGCTGTCGTGGTGCACGGACGCTGCACGACATGCATCAATGGATATGAATATCAGTGGTCTGCCTTGTACTGTCCTCACGGTAAATACAGCTGCAACTTTGCATCCTCTCGAACATTGTAGTCAGTCAGTGTGCGCTTGTTGTCCATGGTGGTCGACTGGTGGATGAGAGTCTGCTTTTTGGCGGGGATGCCCTTATTGTACTGCAGCTTCGCTTTGACATGTCGTGGTGCACCTCTTGTCGTACTTGTCCCGGGGGGTCAGGCAGCACTTGTGGAATGTGGAAAGGCACAGAGCACCTTTTACTTTTTCCTCGAGTCTCGCCACCTTTCTTTTGACGTCATCCTTCCGCAATCGATTTCTTTCAGGCAGAGAGAAAAAGAGTCAGTCATTGACAGCACCGGGACGATGAAAGTCTGACTCTGGCGATAGGTTTTCAATGGAGACACAACTTTGCGTACCATGGCTCGTTGACAGCAGCAACAGTGTTGCGACGAAAATCAGGCACGACATTTATATTGACGACCTCCTTGCGAGAGACCAGATTCAGCGCCTACCGTTAGCCGCACCAAGAAGACAATCGCAAGAAGATGCGCTGTTCAGGGGGCGATTGATGTGCAACTGCCGCTCGGTACTTGACATGTCGACGGGGATCAATGGGTAGGTGGTTGTCACCACTGGCATTCTACACACCAATACATCAATACACACACACTCAATTGCCCTGTGGCATTCGGGCGCCGACTCGATAGAGCCGGAATGTGTAACTTGGAAGGTATTAACCAACACGCCCTTACCCTCTGCCACATCAATATCGCTCGTCAGCCGCATGTCAGACTCGTCGTCAGGCGCCGAGCAAAAGTGAAGAACTGCAAAAAACATTTCTGAGCCATACTGAGGTGTTCATACTAACTTTCAAGTCTCCTCTTCACCTTTTAAGAGTCCAGCATACTGTCCGGACCCTCATCGGTCGTCACACTTTTGAGTGTCCGATCCGACCGCAGCATAACGAACAAATGGACCTCACCGGCGTCGTTACAATCGCAGGGTCCGCTGCTCTTATTGCCTTCCCAGAAACCGCGCCAACTGGACAAAACAGACATTCATACATTATGGTTGCCACTCTTGTGCGCACATGCAATACCTGCATGAAGGATGTCGTGTCCAGGGTCAACAATCGAGCATTTGACTGCGACGCCTCCTAATCGAGTAAAGCTAATGTAGCGAAAGGACCATTGCCAGACACCTGCATGACACGGCCACAAGTCAGCAAGGTTTTTCGTCTCTCGGAATGCACTTGCCTGTGTGATTGGACAGTATGACAGCCCTTGAAGTGTCATGGCATGCCTTGTGGCATGCTCGACGACGCTCTGATGGTAGTTCCCATTGATGTCTCCATGCACAGGATCGCAAGTGAAGAACCACTCCTTCTCTCCCATTCCATGGTCGAAACAAAATTACACAAAACACCAAATGGCGATGTCCTGCATGTCTTCCAGGGAGAGCTTATCTTCGCCGCACATGTTGTTGTTGATAGCATGCTATCCACAATAGGTGGCTATCTGTGTTTGATGGTGAGTTGAACAACAGAACACCGAGCAAGGCACCTTATCAAGTGTGTTGCCGTATACAGATTTTGTACACTCAAAGGAGCAATTCTATCTATTCGACTCACCTGCTGCGCGTAAATTTCACGGATGTTACCGTGTATCGCATGCATCTGACGATTGTGGCGTCGGCGGTGACGTCGGTTGTGGCGTTTCAGCGCTCGCAGCGCTCTTTCAATTCTCTCCAACTCTACATACACAACGACACATCACTTTGTCTCTCTCTCTCTCTCTGTGTCCCACCTCGCATCTTGAGCGTGGCCTCATATCTCACTAAACAATCCACTCTGCCCACCACATTCAGAAGGAAAGACACCTGAAATTCACATACATACACACGCACGTGCGGACAGTATAGCCATGCATACAAATGTTACGCCGAGTGTTTATCGTGAATAGTTGAAAGACAGACCTGACAGAAAGATGACCAAAACGTGTGGCCACACCCGGCGACCACCACCAGCTCAGCAGCTACTACACCGACATATGGGATTGCTCTCATGGATGTACATCGCCTTGCAGGTCTCCAACGCTTGTAGAGTCGTAGCGGCTGTTATCTTGGTTGCATCTGTATTCGTGAGGAGGACCTGGTCTCCCTGCGTGCCCGATGTTGTGTCCTTCTGTGTTGGTGTTCTGCCATGAGATGTGTAAAAGTTTTTGTCTCTACACACTCACCATCAAAGCATCAAACAGTTTGTTCTCCTAAAAGTCCTCCACATCCACCTGACACCGTCAGAGAAAGGTGGGATAAAGTGGCTTCGGTATGTATATGAATGAATGTATGGGCACTTACATTTGTGATTGTGATGAGGGTCATGCTGTCACATAGCAGCTTGGTTAGCTCGGCATGCGCTGGGCGACAGGTGTTGCACGATTTCTCGTTGCTTGCAGAGCTTCTGGTACATCCACATAGCCACCGTCCCCACGTGTGTCGTCCGCTTGTAGGTCTCCTCTGTGTTGGGACCTTTCATGGTTCTGCCACAAAACGAAGACAGAAACCAGCGAAGAAAAGCGCGAAAAAAAAGGGGGGGGGGGGTTAATAATAAGTAATGCCCCTTACGAGCTCATCCTGCGGGAAACGGTGTCCGGATTGCGAACAAAGTCACCCGACACATGCCCCATAAATTTCTTCACGTTGGTGTCGACCCATGCAGAAGGCTCGATCATCTCATCCTCTTCGACGTCCCCCATGACTTCAACCGAAGGCTTCAGATCAGGCAAATTGTACAGAGACACCAATAGATTATCTCAAATTAATAAACCAGACTGACCGACTTGCACCAGCATGGACGTCAACTTGAGACCGAAGCCCGGCAGTGTCATCAGAAAAGTGGCAATGAACGACAGCGGTACGTCCTCGTCCACCATCTCCTGGATGACCTCTCAGACGATGCCGATGACAGGAAGTGTCAAGTCCCTGTCTTCGTCGCCGGCGGTCTCATAGAATGCGTCCATTTGACCTACTCCGACAATGCTCGGGTCGTTGTGCGGCTGAGGGGGCGTAAAGAAGAACTTCAAGTAGTCTGCGGTCCTGTTTTGCTGACCGCCCTGACCGCGTCACACAAGGTAAAGAGACAGAAGGAATGCGAAAGGCTGAGAGGGACAATCGGGGAATCACCACTGCAATGGTGCCGGCTATCTCGCCCCTAATCATCAGGGCCAGAACCTCCAAACTGGTCAGTTGGTCCCCCTCCTGAGCGTATTCCTCCTGACGGAAAGACACCTTCTTGCCCAACGCAAGTAAGGCATCCCACGATTGATCGTTATTGCGGTTCGCGGTCAGGAGAGAGGCCTGCAACAAGCACATGGCCAGACGCGCATTGTAAAATAAGTTTGGCGCGTGACGATTATTCTTGTTTCTCGGCAATACCACACAGGCCCAGCCAAACTTCTCGAGGGTCAACCTTTCCCACTTTATGGGCGGGTCATGTGCCAGCCGGGGGAAGAGACCGAAGGACAGGTCCGCCAGGATCTCAAGAAGATAAACCGGGCGAATCGTACTTCCGTCCTCCAACTCTATCGGCTTGCAGGCAGGGATGATGGTGTCGGTCATGTCGGTCATCAAGACACACACCACGTTGCCGTCGGCGTCGTCTTTCAGCTTCCCCCATGTATTGCACAAACGTCCATCGGTACCAGTCCATTGGAGAGCGATCCGCGTGTCGATGGCGATGAAGGACACCTGAGAGATCACCTGGCCGCCAAGTTGACACGTCACGACTCCAGGCGCACTGCTTTGTCATAGAGAGAAACACAGATATGGATGTGCAGGATTTGCGCGTAGCAGGTGAACGTACCTCGCATCCTCTCCTGAATGTCGCAATCTACACACCCACCCAGTGTCAAAGCATCAAGTTGAGGTGACTTTGGTTGATGGATTTCGTCGACGTTGATCTTGGTTGGGTGAGAAAAGTGGTCGGCTAGGGAAAACTCCCACACCTCGGACGAATATTCGTTGACGTTAGACCACGTCGGCTGATGGGGCGGCTCCAGACCTCCACTGATGCACTGATGGAGGCGCCGAAGACATAGTGGTCCTTGCATATTACAAACAGCAGGCGCTGCGTGTCCGAGACACAACACAACAGGTCGACCACAGTGGTGCCGTCGCGCCATATCCTGACGTACACACAGACAATGCTGCATCCCTCTCTCTCTCTCTGCGTGTGTTTGTCGGCTGCACACGTACCGGTAGACGGACTGCAGCTTAATGCTGTGGTCGCCCAGCAGTTCGAGGAGGCCGCAGTACTTCCGTCGTGTCAGCGACATGCCCTGCAGCACATGCACCTGCCAACAAGACATGGCACACACACACACATGCATACACACGTGAGCATAGTTGCCGAAGTCAGTTGTCTGCCGGTTTGTTCCTACCGTCTGCATATGAACGGCCAGCAGGGAAGCCACGGCGTCCTTCAGGCCGTAGTTGGGGCGGACGTTTGTGTGCGCAGTCTCCTCTCTGATCAACATGATACACATACGAATGCGGGGGGAAGACGTCGAACAACCGATTAACACCCTTATGTGTGTCGCCTCGGTGTCTTAGTCTACTTGCACGCGGGCCACTTGGTACGACGACGGTTGACGGTTGTTGGGGTTATGACGGATGAGCTTCCTGACGCACTGCAGACGCACACATTTCATGCCGTTGCGACCAACACTTTTTCCAATGCCCACTCACTCACCGCCGCATATATGTGTCTGTCTCTGTCTTCGTCTGTGTGTTCGTCTGTCTGTCTGTTTATCTGAGTCTGTCTGTGTTCGTCTGTCTTCTGTCTGTCTGCTTGTTTCTCTGTCTGTCTGTCTGTGTGTATGTCTGTCTGTCTGTATGTCTGTCTGTTCCTTTGTCTGTCGTCGGTCTGGCTGTCTGTCTCACTCACCGCCGCACAGTATGAATGACCTGAGCAAAGAGAAACCGCCATATACACAGCCGTCCTGCTGACCAAGCTTGATCATCTCATCCTCCCCGACATCCCCCATGATGTCTGCAGCCGAAGATTTCAGATAGGCAAGACAACATAGGAATAACTAAGTAGAAAAAGACAGCAGGGAAAGACACCGATAGATTGCCTCTGATTAACAACCCAGATCGACTGACCTGCACCAGCATGGACGACAACTTAAGACCGAAGCCTAACAGCGTCATCAGGAGGGTGACGATAGACGACAGTGGTGCGTTCTCGGCCACTTGCATAGGAACTCGTAGAGACATGTCTCTACTGTTGTTCGGTTCCCCGTAGTGCCTGATGCGTTCTGCTCCTGAAGGCCTACTATCGATCGATGACAGAGGAGGATCCATGCCGCCACCTCCATTATCTTCAGAGGTCCCCGCGTAGAAAAACTGCTTAAAAAGGTTTATAATATCTGAGACATGAGGTGATGGAGACTCACTGGAAAGGACTCATAAACAAAGGCCCAAGCAGACCATTTCATTTAACCTCGGACACTGTCGAGGCCTTGGGTTGCTCATGTAGAAGTCGGTGTCGACAGTGAAATCAAGGTGATCCTGTAGAGTGCCTGATTTTTTGATCCACTGAGCATAGATTCACAGTCCAGAGCCACCACCTTTTTGCTCTTTGAGGGTATCGCCTTTTCCTTGAGCCCTAAAAGTACAGATGCATCGCAGCGCACTAGTACTCTGCCATTCACGTGGGTGCACACATACTTTGAAGCCGGTGTCGCTTGCGTTTCAACTGCAGGTGAAGGACGACCATACTGTTGGGGTTCCATGGCCACTTCCTGCGCTCCCGCTTGACTTCATTAAGACATGCAGCATCTGCTCGGTCAAGCTCATCAAAGTAACGTCGATAAGCAGCCTACCACGCATCAATCCATTCACCCAAGATATGCGTCTAATGACCGCTTTGTTTTTACCTGGATCTTGACCTCTTCTGCAGAAGGAGGGAGCGGGGAGTGGAGGAAGCTATCGAGATATTCCACCCGCTGCAAAAAGCACACACCCACCACAGACCTGGTTGGTCCGTTATGCTGTCTGTGTTACGTCATCTGCTACTATCGGCGTATCCTCCGTCGACTGCGTTTCGCCATTGGCTGGCGTTGGCGCATCTCCGGTCGAGTAGAGCTGCACGTGAGGCGCCCTTGACACGCTCTCGATGCCCCTTCTTGCCGCTTCGGCCCTGCGCACACCGCTGCAGAAGGGGGGGACAAACGTCGAGCCACCAGCATCAACGACAGCTGTGTGCAAGAAAGAAAGCTCCAGCACGAGTATAGCTCCAGCACACATACGTAAGCTAGTGCTTGCGTTCACATATCTGCAAATCCGCAATCAAATTGTCCAATCGTCTCACTTTCTCGACAGGCCGTCTATCTGTGCAGCAGGACGCCGTGCACAGCGCAGAAGAGGCGCAAATGAACTCGCCCAATGCACTCCGTCGCACCCTGGGTTGGGGCACTTGAGCATGCAGTCTGGCTGGCGCTCCTCCGGTGCAGCATCCGTTGGGCATGCGCACGCTGTGCTGGGGTGATCCACTCGCCGCCGCTGCCCATTGAAAGGCTACGTGGAACCTAGGGCCTTGGCTGGGGCTACTGTCAAATCCGCGGAGATCCTGGCCAATCGCAATGGCGGCGGAGTGCCGGCCAGAATGCCCAGCCTTTTAGGGTCTCTTTGCTGTCGGCTTTTCCTTGAAGACTCGAATGCCATCATGTACGTTGCCTGCCTTCTTGCGTGTCTGTCTGTTCAACACAGTAAGTATACACCCGCACTCACGGGAGCGAATTAATTAAGTGCACACACACAGAAGCACCCACACAGACCGTGCACACAAAACACAGACGCCACACCCAATCCATCCATCCGCCCGGTTGTCTGACTATCAGCTGTTGAGAATCCATTTGCCGACCTCCTTGGCCACGGTGACCGCGCGGGGCAAAGTCACATTCTCATGCAACTCACCTGCACACACACACGAGAGAGATGCCACATGCTCACCATTCGACCGATGTGCATCTCTGTGTGCGGGGACCTCTGAGTATGAGTGCTGCCTCTTTGTAGCACGTCAAGGCAAGGTACTCGCTCATCTTGGCTCGAATCACGTTGGTGCGCCACAGACCATCCAACCCCTGATATGCGCATAGACACACACACACACACTCGTGTGCCTCACCAAAGTGTCATTGAGGAGCGCTCCCTCACCGTCAGTTTCGACACGGATTGGTCGTCTGCTTTGCTCCACCAGGTGCCGTCGATCCGCAGCCCGTCCTCATACACACCACTGACACACACAGGCAGACGAAGTACTGACTGTGGAGAGGGGGTTTGTGTGTGTGTGTAATGTCACTTACCCTTGTGTCTTGCTGGCTGCGGGCTTCAGTTCGGTCCACCACACCCATGACTGATCGATCCATCCATCCATTCCTCAGAGGACAGGTGTGTGCGCGTGTGTGTGGTGTGTGGTGTGTATGCTGCAGGAAGGCCACCAATGTAAGTACCTGTGTGGCGATGTTTCGGTTGTCCTTCAGTAGCTTGATGAATGGCGTGATGGTTGTGTCGTTCTCGTAGCGGGCCATGAAGGCCGAGAAGGCCGACTCCCACCACTCAATGGCGTCCTCAAAGGACGACACAGAGCTGCCTGCAATGAGTAGAATGGATGCACACCAACAGACAGACACAATACACACACACATACAAGTGAGTGCGTGTGTGTCCTCACTCACTGGTCGAGTTGATGACTTTGCTGCTGACGGTCCGGAGGTCTTGGGGAATGCCGTGCACCCACGTGTTGAGCCGCATGTCAACCGCCACCCACGAGGGGTCTGACAAACGAAATAACCCACAGAAATCCACACTCAATTCACGCCACTGCGTGTGCGCCGATTTGCTCGTGTCTGGCTCACCATAGTCTTTCTTGAGCTTTTGCAGCCTGTGTGGATACGCGCGATGCGTCAGCCAGGAATCCGATTGGTGCGTGTGCATGCACTCCTTCATTGTGCCTACTCGCTGGTCCATATTCTGAATGTGTGTGAGGGCTCGTGGCGGGGCTCCAGCGTGAAACCGTAGACGCTGAACAGCTGACACGACACGCACACACACACATGAGTAGACACACACATCAAATTTGGAATGGATGGGTGTGTCTACTCATTGATTGTAGGTAGGTACCTGTGCGTTGGATCGCGTGCCGTAGGATAGGAAGATCTCCTGGCCTTCACACATACGCACACACACAACCAGGCAGCCATGTGTCCATCCATCCATCAATCCATCCACCCATCCAGCTGTGTGCTAGGATGGGCTGGGCTGGGGTGGGCTGGTGTCCATGAGTGAGCACCTTTGTTGACGAATTCCTTTGTGGTGATCTTTAGGCTGTCCGTCGACTCATCCCAGTTCCACTCCTGCACACACGCACACAGAGCAGGCAGACAGCCGACAGATGGCTGGAAGCGTGTGTGTGTCTGTGTGTGTGTGTGTTGATGTGATGCGCCTACTGCGTTGTGGTGGTGTCCGTGGTTCATCATGTCGGCCACCATGACCAGGGCGAACCCATGACGAGTCGAGAACGAACGAGTGGCGATGCTGCGCGCACACACCACATAGGTGTTGAAGTGCATTCTCTGTGTGTGTGTGTGTGTGTGTTTGCTCACGACATGCATGAGGAAATGAAGGCTGTCTTGTTGAAGGCCCCGATGTCTTGCCGGTCCAGGTTGGCCACTATCTTTGTGTGATCGCGGTCGTACCAAGCCCTGCCCGTTCATCGACACACACACACAGACCCATGTGTGTGTGCGCAGCAGGTGGAAGGGATTCACTAACGCACTTGCTTCGGCTGGCCAGCTCGTATTCGGGCGAACCTTCAAGCAGCTTCAGTCGCCTCTCTGGCTGACAACACACACACGCCATGCTCACAAGCTCATCAGTTTACCAGTGCATGTGTCCATCCATCCATTTGTGTGTGTGTGTAAGCGGCCCAGCGCACCTGGAAGAATATCATGGTGTCGTATGCCTCCTCGCCTATCACTCTGGTGTAGGGGTACCAGTAGCTCTTCACGCCCTTCTGCACCTCAGCAGCTGCACACCACACACACACACACACGCACACACGACATGCAGACATGGCGGCGGTCCCATACACGATACACACACGCGTGAACGCACTGTGAGTACTCAGATAGGCCCCCAAGGCAGGATGCTGTAGAGCCAACCCAGGGATGGCCTCTACTCTCCCAGGCAACTCTGACCTGACGGACGTCCACGTGTGTGTTCATACGTGTCCGTGTGGCTGTGCGTGTGTGTCTGTCTGCGTACCTCATCTTTGCGTTTGGCAGGGTGAGGTGGTTCTTGATGGGTACCTGGATGAGCAGGGTGTTCTTCTCCAGCGACTGGGTGGTGATGACGCCACGCACCGGCCGGTCGGGGGGCGTCAGGGCGATACCTGCACACATACACACGGATGAAGCTTGGATGGATCGATTTGCACAGGTGCGTGTGTACACGTTGGTACCATCATGGACGAAGCTGTCACGCTGCCGCACCTGCAGACGAGAAAGGGGGACCAACTCAATGATTGGTTGCGAGTGTCTGTCTGCCTGTATGACAGACATACCCATTTCTTCATGGCTTCCCACTCTTTGTACACATCGAGCGGCCCATCCTTCGGCCTGACACAGGCACAAACACACACAGGCAGACACACAGGCGTCCGCACACACGCGTGACATCTGATTGCTGTTCTGTGCCGGTGCACAGCTGCACGTTACCTGACGTCAAAGTAGGTCTCCCAGAAGTCCCTCGGACCCCATTGCACGCACGCCACTGCTATGGCGAGAGATGGCACGGCGATGGAGAGCACCACAACGCCCAGATTGGACGTGCTGCCGCTGCTGCTGGCGCTGCGTGTCGGTGGTGAAGTGGCAGCTGCAGATGCGCTGCCGCTTTCTTTCGCCGCCTTCTTCCTTGGCTGGCCATTCATTCTCCCGTTTCCTCACACGCGGCAGGGATTCGAAGGGTCACAGGGTTTCATACCCTTTAGCCCCACGAAAGGCCCAGTTTTTGTCCGCCTTCTCGGATAGCTGTGCGATGAGAGAGTGCCGCACTCGGCCGACAAACGGGCGAGAAGAGTCAATCGAGTCAGTCATCCCTCTCGGCTGCTGTGGTGAGATGGCGAGCCATTGAGCTGACAGCTAAACAGAGGTGAGGGAGGCCGACCACTCACTGACTGACTCACTGATGCGCTCACTGATCCATTGGCCTCAATGCGCTCGCCGTCCTCTTCTGTTGGCATCTCTCTCTCTCTCTCTCTGTCGGCCCATCGCTGCAGGCGTGTCGTTGAGGAGTGATGGCGGCCTCCTCATCTGCCAGTGGTGGTGGTGGTGGTGGTGGTGCATTCAGTTCTCTGCCTGCTGATCTGTCCGTCTGATCATCGAACGAGGTGAGCAACACACAGATCAATGAGCAGCATGCTTGATGCACACAATCCTCTGTCGGCTCTGTCGCTCTGTGCAGGCTGTCGTGGAGCACATCATAGCCACCCAGATGCAGCAACCGCAGCATCAGCAGCAGGACCCCTTCTCGTATATCTTCGTCGGCCGCCGCACCTTCTACCTCTTCAGCAGCATCAAGGACATCCTGCGGCTGAGGGCCACCTGCACGTGGATCAGAGAGCTCTTCAACGCGGCCCAGCTGAGAGATCGGCTCCACCACTCGCTGGGCTCACAGGCGGGGCTGAACAGCTTTGAGAGAGTGGCCGACAAGAGGGCGAGAGAAATCACTCGAGTCAGTCATCCCTCTCGGCTGCTGCGGTGAGATGGCGGGCCATTGAGCTGACA